GGACACATTTTGGATCGAGCCACCAAATCCCATCCCAGGAGGAATCCCAAACTCCAAGCCCAACATTCCATGATTTACTCCGCCAACCCCACACCCCCCATGGAGCCCATTCCCACCCCATTCCCACCCCATTCCCACCCCATTCCCACCCCATTCCCGCCCCATTCCCGCCGCATTCCCGGCTCACCTCGGATGACGGAGATGTTCCTCAGGGCCACCGCGTGCTCCCAGTGCCGGATCCGCAGCTCCTCGGTGACGTTGCTCAGCATTCCCAGCTCCAGCCTCAGCCTCCCCTCCAGCTCCTCCCGCCCCCTCCTCGCCCTCCTCGCCTCCTCCGTCACATTCCCGACGATCCCGCCCAGATCCCGGAGCCGGGAACGCTGCAATTCCAGCTCGTAGGAGAAGCTCCTGTTCATGGAATCCACGGATCCGCCCAGGAGATCCAGCTGCTCTCCCAAGGCCTCCGTCCTCCCTCCCAGGCGTTCCAGGAGTTGGGAATGATGCTCCAGGAGCAGCCGGGAGCCGTTGCCGGCCACGGAAAGCCGGGAGAATTCCTGCTGGGAAGCGTCTCCCTGCCGGCTCAGGGAATCCCGGAGAGCGGCCACGGCCACGTCCGTCTGTCCCGCCCGGCTCTGGAGCAGCTCCAGGAGTTCCTGGAGCCTCTGGAGCGTCGCTCCCGCCCGGAGCAGGGAATCCGAGTGGTTCTGGAGGAGATCCTGGAGCCTCCAGACGTGATCCAGGATTTCCCCCCGGGCCGGGAGCAGCAGGAGTTGGAGCTGAAGGTCCCGGAAGGTCTCGTTGAGGCGTTGGACGTTCCCGAGGAGAACCCGGAGCTCCTCCGGAGAGGGATGAGGGCGGGAGGCTGGGAAAGGTGGGAGAGGGGTGGGAATGGTGGGAGTGGCCCCGTGGATGGGGGGGATTCATCCCATCCCATCCATCTTTATCCCATCCCATCCCATCTTTATCCCATCCCATCCCATCCCATCCATCCCATCCCATCCCATCCATCCCATCCCATCCATCCCATCCATCCCATCCCATCCCATCCCATCCCATCCCATCCCATCCCATCCCATCCATCCCATCCATCCCATCCCATCCCACCCCATCCCCACCCCATTCCACTCCATCCCATCCCATCCCATCCCATCCATCCCATCTTTTTCCCATTCCATCCCATCCCATCCCATCCCAAGGAATGTCTGGTTTTTCCCGCTGGAAATCTCCACCTCAGATCCCAAAAAAGGTTCATCCCGCCTTGGGGGGATGAAGGGCTGGAGAATCCCAGGGAAAAACCTTGGAATGGTTTGGGTGGGAAGGGACCTCAGAGCTCATCCCATTCCAAGAGCACGACCCAATTCCATGGGTAAGATCCCATCCCAGTCTCTCCAGGAGTAATGGAATCCTTAGGACAGGGGGATATTTTGATCCCAAGGAACCCTCATCCCGGGAATGTCACAGCCCTGGGGGGG